TTTGAATGTAATCTTGGACATTTTGATACTCCTGAAAGGCTTGTTCAGATAGAGGAAGGTGAAACTGTGACTCCAAATTGTTGTTCAACAAGAATTGAGCTTCTGAGATCTTTTTGTGCTTAGTAAAAGAGAAAAGCCTGGGATACTTGATTTGCATAATATTATCATTCCACAGATCAGACCAAAATAATACAGTGGTGCCATCTCTCCACCAAAAAGCGCCTTTGTCACTTGTTGCATGTGGGATTTCACCATTGGAATAATGTGCGTGCCAGACAAGTTTCATCCAAGGGATCTTCTTCTTGTTATAGAATTTATTCAAATGCTTAAGCAGAAGTGTTGTGTTTTGACTTCTTAGATTAATGATGACAAGGCCTCCTTTCCTTTTGGGTTTACAACATTTTTTTCAGGCAACCATAGGCTTCATCTTAGCATTGTTGTCTGATCCTCTCCATAAACAGTGCCTTCTAGCTCTATCAATGTACTCAAGAAATGTTATTGGCACCTGCAGTGCACATTGCATATGTTGGCAGACAGGAGAGCACTGAGTTAACCAATTCCAACCTTCCTGCATGTGTTAGAAGATTTGATGTAGCTGTTAGCCTTCTTTCAGTTTTGTTCATGATGAAGCCAAAATGATCAACCCTGGATTTGGTAGTACCCATGCAGTCCTAGGTAGCTGAAAGGGAGAGACTCAAGTTTGCAACCAAAAACTCCAGCCAGTTGTTGGGCTCTCTCAAAGGAGAGATTTAGAGGGACCAAACAAGACTTCTTATAATTAACCTTCTTTGTAGAAGTTATATGTGTAGACTTTGTATGTTTCCCTTACCTCGACATAACTAATCAACGATGTACACCGGTCGGTGGCGTGAGGTCATGCACACACCTAGTTTCCAATTCCTATCTTCTCTCCTTTGTCTCTAATGCCTTCTTGCCATCACTTGCTATGTGATTACTTCTATATGTTACGTGTTACTACGCATGGTGGAATCGGGGCGGTTCAGGCCAAGTTTGCAAATGGAGTGCTAGAAATTTCTGAGAAAAAAGATGTTGAAATGTACAAATATGAAGTTCCCAAATGTTGGGTCCAGTGCCGTGGTCTCCCTAAAGGAATACGCGAATTCCCAATCATATGGGCAGTTGGTACTATCATTGGGGCTACATGAGAAGTTGACATGAAATTTACCAAAACATTTGGTAGAGCAAGGTTGAAGGTGGCTGCACTTATGCCTGAGCGCATCCCTGAGCTTGTTGATATGGTGATCGGAGATTATATGTTTTCGAGCTTCAATTATTGGTGGAGACTGAGCAGGAATCAAAAAATCCTACTCCCATTAATGTGGATGAACAGCCTAAGGATGGAGGCAGCAAAGAGCAGGAAAAATAAAGATTCTGAGAATAAAAGTGGTGGAAAATCAAAGGATGTTGCAAACTTTGGTCAAACTCCATTACCGCCAGCTACTCAGGCGCTTGGGAGTTCTGCTTTGCAGCGGAAGGCTCCTTCCTCCCCACGGTTGGGCCACAGTTCAGTTCCAGCCTAGCTGGGTGCAGCACAGGTGCAGCAGGCCAATCTGCTCAAGGCAGGCGTTTGGTAGGCAGGCCAGCGGTGATGCTCAAGCAGACCGGCGACACGCAGCCCACAAAACAATATGGGTAGCAGAAAGATTTTATGGTCCACCTATACAACTCAAAAAAAAAAAAAGCCCAGAAAGACATCTATCCTCCTGCTATGAATATCACTCCAACACGGAAGAGCAAACATAATACTGCAACTGCTGCTAGTAATTCATTGGAGAAGGCAACAAAACTCAAAGCTCGCAAAAACCCGGATCATTCTAATTAAGGAAAAAGGTATGATTCCAGACCTTTCGTTTTTATCTCTTCCAGATAATGTTATTGCTAGTGCTGTTAATAGAGTAGGTATCTCTTTGGGTGCTTCTGTTAAAGCTATTGAAAAGAATATTAATAATATTAAATTACTAGGATAGCAACGCGCAATCCCCATCCAAAGTCTCTTTCAATTCCTTTGTTGTAGGAACCCCTGATTGGACATTCCTAACACGAATAACACCATACTGCTGGACAAAGGCTCAGAGGTCTGAACCAAGATAAACCGACCGTGTACCTTGCGTGTTTTGAGTGTCCGGGCCCAAAGACCTGCATATCGTCCTCCGACGAAGAAACTCGATGCTTGCCGTGGTTCCGAATCCGCAAGAATGATATTGCAATGTCTGTCTATATGTTGTTGGGTGACTAAAATCTGATTTCTATTTCGTAATACAATTGTTTGGGCTACTTAAGTGCAATCTGATAAAGCCTATATTGCTAATGGTAGAAAAAAAATGTGTGGGCTGATTGTGTTGTAGGCTAATTGTTGAGTGGGCTAGATTGATTTCAGAAAAATGGGTTGATTTAGGACAAAAAATATGGGCTGAAATATAAACTAAAAAATAGGCCACGTTGAAAAAAATTAGCGCAAATAATATTTGTGGCCCATTAGAGGCCTGCCTCTCATATGGGTCTTAACAGGCCAAATTTTAGTTTTATGATGTTTTCTAGATTTGCCAAGTCAGCGCCATGTCAACATGGCATCCCATGTGGCAATTGCACATGTGGCAGGGTCTATGTGTGGTTGTGATGTAAATCTAACGTCATAAATCTATATGATGAAAAAACCAACGTCATAGGGTTAATGACTTTAAAAATGCAAACGTCAAAAAATGTATTTTACGACACACATTTTTCAACGTTTGCATTTTTGTCAACCTAATGTCATAAAATGCAACCTACGACATAAATTGCCTATATTATGACATAAGTAAAACGTCAAAACAATGGAAGATTTCTTGCAGTGGTTGTTTCCATCTACTTCTACAAATACGATTTAGCTGATCTTACGAACCACCTATGGAAATGGGGACCATTTTCAGAGGCAATTGGTAAGGCCATCCGTATCTAAAAATCAATTTCCAGGGATGATCCGTTAGCTAGACCCCCCCCCTAGACACCTATTTAGAGATGATTCTTAGGGCCTGTTTGGTTTGGGCTACTAAACTTTAGGAGCTACTTAATGGTTTAGTCACTTTTAGTCACTCCAGAGTTACTAGAGAGGACTAAAGCCCTTTTAGTCACATTTAGTCATAGTGTTCGACAAAAAAATTACTAAAGGAACTAAAAACTACTAAATTTAGGAGCTACTAGGTGAACCAAACATGCCCTTAGTCCATCAGCCTCTTGGAATAAAAAGAGATGCATATAAAACTCATTTATATAGAGTAGTGAAGTTGTAGCATATATATTTCCTGTATAACTAAAACATGGTATTGACGGTGGAACAAGGAGATGACATCTAGGTTTCATAACTCGATCATGCTATTGTTGGTGGAACAAGGAGACAACATATAGGCATCTACTAGCTATGCTGTACTCGATATGGGATGAATTCACTCATATTTTATCAGATCCTGCACTACTACATAATACACAATCCATGTTGGGCTATGCCTGCCAGACAATTTAAAATCGGTAGTGATACCTATCACTGTCGGGTTATATTACTAACCGGCAGTGATCCGTAGCCCCTGGACCCAAAGTTTTTATTGAACGCTATCGGGTTAACGTCCTTGTTCAGAAACCTCGACACCAGAGCAAGGGTCTTCCCGCAATGGTTCCGAACAAGGAAATAACAATAAAAACAAACTGAGACGAATTTGTGTGTCCCCCTCATATTTAGTGTTACATGGGCGCCTATATTTGTAGGGGATACTATGTTGGCGAGTAGATTACATGATTCCTACGGTGAACTAAGCATATTCCAGGCATGTACAGGGAGTTTCGGGTCCTTTTGCCCTCCTGAATTCAAGCACTCCCTGAATGGGCAAAGGCTTTGTGGCATTCCCGGTGGCTTGAACGGGTGATCCTCCCTAGAGCGCTGGAGGGAGAGGATCCCTCGCGTTTCCCACCGCCGCGTGGCGCCCTCACTATCTGCCCAGGCTACATCCTAGAAAAGAATATCTATTGTAACACGTGCATCCTTTCGGGTGAGGTGGTGACACCCAGAAGGTACCCTCCCCAACAAACATCGTTAACTCGCTCGTGAGTCATGCCCACAGCCTTGTCCTCCTATCCTGGCTCTCTCACTCTCTCTCTCTCTCTCTCCCAGTGTCTCCTTTGTCTCTCTCCCCCCTCTAGATCCCATTTCAAGCATACCTCCCTGCAAGCCTCCACTCCGCTCTTTCTCCTCTTGATATCCAGCTTCAAGCATCAAGATCTTGGCGCGAGGCACGACCACAATGGGCACGAGGGCAGCCGGGGGCATCCCCGATGCATGCGTGCGGGGCTAGCTTGGGAGCCAGACAATGTTTTTGTTTCTTCTTTTTGTTTTGTGAAAACGGGCATCACTGCCGAGTGAAAAAAACTGATAGTGAAACGTCAAGGTCAACACTACTGATTATACCCACTTCCGGATTGAAATCCGACAGTTATCCGGTTTCGAACCGGCAGTGATTGCTGGTTCTAAAGCAGTGCTGATTTCTGTGGCTTTCCTCGATTTGTTTTTCTTGCTTTTTGACTGAACACTAATTGGAAACTGTGTTTGAGTATGGAGTCCGGGACCAGCTACATGATGTTATATTTTTTTTTCCATAAGAAGATACAATCATGGATCGGCCTACATGTAGCCGAAATGTTTTCTTATATATATTTTATTTTGGAGAAATATATACCTTTATATTTAATTAATATAGTTCCATTATATATATTTGATATTTTGAGAACACGTACAATAACATGAACATGATGTCACACAGTGTTACATCATCTGTCTTTACTTTGTAACTCCTCTTACATGCCACTGTATAGCGTAACATTTGAATTAGTCTCCGCATGCAGACAAACATGCATGCACACGCTGACAGATGGAGCTTATTCATATATATATATAGTATATATACGTATATAGTAGGAGTGCGTGCCAGCATGCTGAATCTCAGGCGTGCTCATCATATTTGGGGGCCTGGCACGCATGCGAGGGGGCCATTGGGGTTGGGCACCACAATGGGTGGGAAGAAGGGAACGGGGATGGTGATGTTGGTAGAGTAATAGCAAAAGCATCTTGTGGTGCTGGTGCCTGGGGTGACCTTGACAGGGGAGAAGATGAGAGAGATGCCGCGGAGAAGATAGGCTGTCACGCCTTGAGCGAACGTGACTGTGTTATTGAAGCCGGAAGGGCACGGGTTTTGGGATGGTGCCGGGGCAGGGGTAGGTGTGGGCGTCGGAGCAGGAGTCGGTGCAGGGGTCGGCGCTGGCGTCGGAGCAGGAGTCGGTGTAGGGGTCGGTGTGGGCGCGGTGCAGGGGTCGGTGCAGGGGTCGGTGTGGGCGTCGGTGCAGGGGTCGGCGTGGGCGTCGGAGCAAGAGTCGGTGTAGGGGTCGGTGCGGGTGTCGGCTCTGGAGGCGTCGGAGCAGGAGTCAGTGTAGGGGTTGGTGCGGGTGTCGGCGCTGGAGTTGGAGCAGGGGTCGATGTGGGGGTTGGGGCGGGAGTTGGCACAGGGGTCGGTGCGGGTGTGGGCACAGGCGTTGGAGTAGGTGTCGGCGTAGGAATCGGGGCAGGAGTTGGTGAACGTTTCGGCGCAGGTGTTGGTGCAGGTGTTGGGGCAAGAGTAGGAGTAGGGGTTGGGGCAGGAGTCGGTGAACGTTTCGGCGCAGGTGTTGGGGCAGGAGTCGGTGAACGTTTCAGTGCAGGCGTCGGCACAGGTGTCGGGGCTGGATTCGGTGAAGGTTTCGGCGTAGGCGTCGGTGCAGGTTTTGAGGGAGGAGTAGGAGGAGGGGTCGGAGCTGGTGGTGACTTGGCGCGCACCGAAGCCGTTAACGCGAGTGCCACAGCTAGGAACAGGAGCGCAGGGGAAGCAGTGGACTTGTTGGATGTTGCCATCGCGCTACTGGCTGCGGATGGATATATGCTGTGTATTGTGTTCTGAACCGTGTGTCTGTGCTTGAAGGCGTATCGCGGCCATACCTATATATTTATAGGCCAGCGCGGCAGGCGGATCTGCTCTTGGCACAAGTTTTGCCTTGGCGTATGTACGTAGCCCTAGCGCATGCAGGTCATCAGAGTCAGGTTGCGAGTGTCAGTGCTTGTCCGGCTGGGCGGCGGCTGGCACACACAAGTTTCTAACGATGGAAACGTGCGTACCCTCCCCTCCTGGACATTCGAGGTCGTCCCATCCTGGCTCCTTCCCATACTTCCAATTAATCTAGGGCTTCACAAAAAGAAAAGGAGATACTATACGATGCACAAGTATTACATGCATGCATTCCTACCTACGGCTTGTCCCAGGAGTAGCGTTAGTTGTGGACTTAGAGACTTGCAAATTGCAACAAGTACGTAAGACTAAAGCGCCCAATAATGATAACTAGCTTGCATTGCTAGCATACACAAGTGCATATATACCTGTATACTTATACGTAGCATTACCGTTAAGACCTACCGCAGGTCTAAGTTCCTAGAACCAACGAACAAGAAGATCAAATACGCTATGGATGCATGCATGGTGATGTAGATAGCATAAACAATATAAGCCAGCTGTAAGAACTTTCACTTTGAATATACGGATGTATGTTTCTTTTTTTTTTTTTGATCTCATACGTACGTATGTTTCTAGTTGACTGGTATTTGATGACAGAAGAAATTTTACTTGGAATCATCTGTTGTTGCGTGAGCTGTAGAACAGAGAAACCTATATATACACTATGCATGCCTCGAACTAGTGAGTCTATAACAGATATGCTCTTGTAGGATCGGAGTTTGCGTATAAAATCTGTATACGGATGATGAGCTAGAGAATAGCCTGTGGAAGGTAGAATTGGTACATTTGTAGGGCTTGACAGACTCTGAGAAACACCTCTAATCCGCCCCTCTGGGTGGGTTCATTTTTAGACGTGTCAATTATATGTAGTGTCATTCGACGTGGAGTCATGAGTCAATGCCCCCATCACTTATTGATTTTTTCACGTAGTAAGTACAAGCTTGCGCGCTTACAGCCAGATCGATCGCCTTCCAATGCCAGTAAAAGGGACAGAAGGCTTCTGTCAAGTCATATAAAAACAATGATGTTATATGACTAATATGAGAGTACTTGTTGTTTTCTAGGTCTAAATAAATTGGATTGTTAGTCATTAAAGATATCTATATCCTCAAATTAAGCAGACAATCAGCAAAAAAAAATTTCTTGTCGCGTGATGAGACTCAAATTTCAAAAAATAGAAAACCCTTCAATACGATGTCGGATGAAGATAATTTTTATATGTAAATTGTAGACCTTGATGAGATTTACAACTTTGTAGTTTTGAGTTTTTTCATTTGAGGATGTTAAAATGCTCGAAAAAATAATATAAAATTTCAGCACCATATTTTGTCGCGTGATGAGACTCAAATTTCAAAAAATAGAAAACCCTTCAATACAATGTCGGACGAAGATAATTTTTACATGTAAATTGTAGACCTCGAGAGATCTACAACTTTGTAGTTTTGAGTTTTTTCATTTGAGGACGTTAAGATGCTCGAAAAAATAATATAAAATTTCGACGCCTCCCGAAAATATCAAAAGTTACTGTTCACCCGCAAAACCGCCAGAAGGTTGAAAGTTGAACAGTTTCCAGAGTTGGAGGGCCAAAGTTATCCGGTTTTGAAGTTCGAGGTTGAAATCCGGACTTTGGTGAAAATTGAAGGGTGTAAATTGGACTTTACCAGATTGTCCATGTGCAATACGCGCATGCAGGCATTTCTAAGCGTCCAACCGTTTGGTCAGTAAAAGGTGTATATGTAGCAACATTACTTACAATTACAAGCTACAATGAACAAAATATACAATAGGAACGATCTATATATTAACTGGTGGATAAGTTGCTGAAGCGGCTTTTATTGATCCTAACAAAAACCATTGTTTTTGGACTGTCATATAGCGTGGCCTGGGTGTGGAGATTTGGAGTGGCCCTAGAGTCATGGAGCGTCAGCCTAACTGTTGACAGAATAGCGCTAGTACACACGTACTGTACATGTAGTGCATATCCATGCATATGACACTTTAGTTTTCTCAGCTTGACCATGGCCTCGTGACTCCATTGGGGCTTCGGTTGATGGAGCACGTGGAATTCTATCTATAGACTTTGTAGCGGTCATACGTGCATGTTGCCCTTACCTCGACATAACTATAATCAACGATGTACGAAGGTGGCGCGTTGATATACCTCACACCTAGTTCCCAATTCTCATCTTCTATTCTTTGTCTCTGATGCCTTCTTGCCATCTCTCGTTATGTGATTACTTCTATATGTTACCTTACCATTTTGGCCAACAAAATAAGTCCCATCACTATGACGGAAACGATTTTTAGAGGTGCTCTACTTCTTGGGGCAGAGATGGCTCTATCAAAAAACTGCCTCTAGCTAGAAATGGTTCTAGAGATGGCTCACCTGTACAAATCGATCCTAATGAATTAAAACCATCATTTTTGGACTATTGTACATGTAGTGCGTATCCATGCATGTATGATACCTTAGTTTCCTTAGTTTGGCCAATAAGGCCTTGTTCATTTATTGGAGCTCCATGATGGAGCACCTAGAATGCTGTAGACTTTGTTTTTTTAAATAGTACAGCAGGGAAGCCCCCACTGTAAGCTTTTATATTTATAAAATAAAATAAGCTGCACAAGACACACAAAGCTGTGTAAAGCAAACAACCAATAGCAGAAGAAGCCTAAGAGAGGCAAGGAAACTAGGCTAGGGAATCAATACAGGATAAGAAAGCAGGACGCTTAGCATCACAAATCCTATGGGCCTCAAGTCGAGCTTCCTCACTAAAGCTGAACTTCCAAGAATCTAAGGAAGGACGACCGCTATCAAAGATGAAGTTATTTCTTTGTTTCCAAATCTGCCAAGCCGCAATGGTGAATATCTCCATAAAGTAGGGATTCGGAAATTGTTGCTTGGCTTGTATCAACATCTTGAAGAAATCACTCGGCAAAGAGCGCGTCTCCCGTAGTGTGCTCTACTTCTTGGGGGCAGAGATGGCTCTATAAAAAAAACTGCCTCTAGCTAGAAATGGTTCTAGAGATGGCTCGCCTGTACAAATCGATCCTAACGAATTAAAACCATCATTTTTGGACTATCGTATAGCGTATCCTGGGTGTGGAGATTATTTGGAGTGGCCCTAGAGTCATGGAGTGTCGGCCTAACTCTTGACAGAACAGTGCTAGTACATTGTACATGTAGTGTGTATCCATGCATGTATGATACCTTAGTTTCCTTAGTTTGGCCAATAAGGCCTTGTTCATTTATTGGAGCTCCATGATGGAGCACCTAGAATGCTGTAGACTTTGTTTTTTTAAAAAAAATAGTATAGCAGGGGAAGTCCCCACTGTAAGCTTTTATATTTATAAAATAAAATAAGCTGCACAAGACACACTGTCGATGTTTCACCACCGATAGCCTGCCACGGGGGTACCCGGAGCAGTATGTTCGGGCTTCAGCGTATGCAGAACTCGATGGTTAACGCAAGAGACAGTCGATTTATCCTAGTTCGGACCCTCGATTATGATCGAGTAATAGCCCTACGTCCAGTTGGCGTTAGCCTTTGCGTTGGATTGATTGTGTAGTGTCTCTAATTCCAGAAACCCTGCCCTCCTTTATATAGTTAGGAGGCCAGAGTCCTAGTCGGTTTACAATGAGAGTTCCTAGTAGGATTACAGAATAATACTAATACTAAGATTACATGGGAAGAATCCTAATTAGACTAGATCTTCTCTCTTTCTTGCGGGGTATCCCGTGGGTCCTGCATCGACAAGCCCCCGAGCACTTCATGGTTGAGCTCTGGAAGTCTCGTCTTGTTCCTTCAGGTCTTGCCGAGTAGGAACAAGCGTCGTCCGAATGCTTTCTTGAGCGAAACCGTGTAGCGCTTCTTGGGATCTTTGAGTGGTTTGTGCTTTTTTGTAGAAAAAGTATACCCATCTGGGTGTAGCCCCCGAGCCTCTTGCTTTTTGGAACAAGGAGCTGGAGGGTCTTATCTTGAAATTGCTCTGATTCTTCGTCGAAGGGCTCCCGAGCATATACCCGGGTTCTTTATAAAAAAGAACTCGGATGTAGCTCGGTCCGGGTTCTTTTTGTCGTGAGGCCTTGAAGTGGTCTGTCTTGAAGAAGTCTTCTTGGTGACATGCGTTTTTTCGAAGAAAAAAGTGCACTCACTGAGTGTAGCCCCCGAGCCTCTTGCTATTTGGAACAAAGAGTTGGAGGGTCTTGAATCTGAGTTGTTCAAAGAACTGAAAACCTCTCTGTTGTAGCCCCTTGTTATTATTCAAAAAGAACTCGGATCACGGGATCTTGGCATATTCTCTCGGTAGTCTCGCTTTGTCGTCGATGTAGTAGTATGGTGGTGGTTGAGTGTAAATGTCGTTTGTTCACGAGTTGTACAGTGTTGGTATATTCTTCCGAATATGCTCGTTCTTGAGTACTATTCCTTCACGCCTAAGTCCTCTTTCATTGAATTCTGTTTTTTCACTGTGTCCTTTGTTAGGTTTGTTCCATTGGTGCTCCCGGTCCATGTGCACCACTTCTTTGGCCTATAAATATCCTCCTTGTGTGCTGTTTTGATTCATCGAGCATTTTGTTGCGTGGTCTGAAATCTCCATAGTTATGAATATGATAGTTTGTGAAGTAGAGCAGTCCCCGGGCGTATTTTGTAGTTTTTGTAGATCTTGTCGTAGCTGGAGGAAGTCTTGTGATAGGGATTAGAGGTAGACTAATCCCGCAGTGGCATTGTACCAGGAAGTACGTGGCGGTAGTTGGAGGAAGTCTTGTGATGTGGGATACATTCCTTCATCCAAAGATTCTCAGGTTGATCCTCATCGCTTTGCCACAGATCGTCCGGTGCAGATCAACACCATATCCAGCATCACATCAGACTTGGGTAGACAGATGCCTGCAGGCTTCTCCTGGTCCATGTTGTCCCGCCATGCTGCTGATTTCCGCCTTGGATGTGCTGCGTTCTTCCTTTGAAGAAAACAGTGTAGCCGAGTGCGGTTTGTTCTACCGAGTAGCAATTTGGAACACGTAGTCGTTCCAGAGCCTAGTTGTGTCCGGGTTCCTTTTTGCTACCTTGCTTATCGTAGTACCGAGTTCGTTGGGTCTTGTAAGATGTGTAATTTTGTATTTTTGAAGCCATTTGTAATGGA